TATTAATCAACAAAATGAAATCTTAAAAAATTCTGTACTTGAACAACATATGCTGCAACAGTGATGCAGTACCCTTGACAGTGGTGCTTATTTTCCAAACTAACATAGGAATAATGACATGGGACAGGGTATATTTCAATTTTTAAAACACTTACATGTCCTCAGCTGACATCTTCATTACTCCCACACATAATGCATGTTGTTTTCCCTCTGCCATTATTGCCTACAAATTACCGCTAAGGAAAACAGATTTTTTTAAAACTATTTCAGAAAAGCAAAAGCAATATGAGGAAACAACTTCCCAAACAGTTTCAAAATCCCGTGTTGAACTTTCACCCTTTTAGTAATTCTAGAGCTCTAGCTCCTAAAGATAAGCAAAACAATGCACTGCGTTTAACAATTGAATCACAGTGTGTAGAACAAAGCATGTATTTACGAACTTCAAACAGCAACTACAGAAAAAGATCTCCCAGCACTACACTCCATTTCTTCCTTTGTGCCTAACACTGAGAGATGATAGTCTCGCCCTTTCTGGAACAGAACTGCACGTGTTCGTGGGGCCATTTTAGATTCCAAGCTACGGAAGAATTGAGAGAGAAATCTAAAAAACCAGAAGTACTGAAATCAGACGTGTCCTTTCCAAAGCTTAGCAATACATGATGCTAACTGCTGATCTTTTCCTACAGCATCTAACTAACAACAAAAGCAGCACAGCTTGGCATTATTAATGCTGTATTTGCTCAGGGTTCCTTTCTCAGTAATATAATAAGCAGGAGTGAATTAGCATACTTTCCTCATTTTACATACGCTAATTTCATCAGGCACATAGAGCAAGTCCTGACTACAGCAAAGCTGATCCTAAAGATCTTTCCAAATTCCCTAGGAACAGGAACAAATTCTTCCATAACTGAAGGAGATAAAAGATTGATTAAGGAGGCAGAGGACACATTACACTGTACCTCATCTGTTTTTACAGTTCTGCATAAAATCACAAAAGGGGAGCTCCACTTATCAGTTAGATTAATGGAACAGCACCCCACCCAACAGCACAGCAGGAACAATTACTTGGTTGGGAATGTTACAGTAAGTAAAAAAAAAATTAAGAACAATGTTAACCTTGTCAAATAACATCTGAATCTCTGCAGCTCTTTTCGGATTACTAGTTATTGCATGAAATACCATTAAAATCCAAAGTCATTCAGATTATGATCAGCTGAGAACACAAGAACAGAAATTTAACTCATCTCACAGCAAGCAGCAATTCATAAAGAAGGATACAACAACAGTATCAACGGCAGCAGGGTAAAGTTTTGCTCCAGGGGATGTCAGGCCAGGGCACATTATATTAGCTCCACTTAGTACAAATTTAATGGCGCCTTTATCAACCTGCTGATGTGGTAGAATAAATGGGTCTAGGAGTGGAAAGATACAGCATTACAATTAATACAGTAAGATGACAACATAAATAACTCATTATCAAGTCAGTTTAGATAGGGTGATTAGATATATAGTGCGCTGCAAGGGTAGGAAATTTGAGAAACAATTACCAGAGCTCCTGCTGGGCTGTACTGTCCTGAAAGGACACAAGTACTGTTCTCCCAGACCACAGCTTTTATCTGAGAACCAAAGGATAATCCAACACTAGGCCTATGCCTCCTGCATACTCATATACCCATATACTGAGTAACAATTTTAACAAGTTCCCCCAATAAAAACAATCATGCAAGTGCCCACATACTAAGAGGTCTCAAAAACAAGGGGTCTTAAATCCCTCAAATTCCATGTATAACCTCTTACATGAAAAAGAAACAGTTTAACATTAACAGGACAAAAAAAGGCAGAGATGGACAAAATTCATGAAGGCCATCAGCTCTCCAAGCCATCCTTCAAGTGCACGCACCTTCTTGAAGTATTTCAAACACTGAGATTCAACTGAATAACATTTTTAGGGACACCTATGCTCATCCAAATCAGCATAACACAATCAAGCAGAACAGTGAGAACAGCAAGAAAAATAACACAAGAGAGTAAATTGTAAAAAGTAAAAAGCATACATTATAAATTCTTACAGGAGACAAGCATATGTTACATCATTAAACTCATAATTAAAGAATATTTTTCTTGTAAGAACCTACAAGCATTTGGAAGGAAGCAAAAAGGGTTTAAAGGAAGACTTGAAAGAACAAAGATAGGAACTAACAACAGGGAATTTAGATCTCTGTCCTAGGGAAACCTCTCTCAAGACTTTTTTGCACAGCTTTGCACAATTTAATTCTTAGAAATCAAAGTTTCGATTGCTTAACATATAGCATTACAATAATTACAGGGGAAGCAATCCATATAGGCAACTGAAACAGCAGAGCAATAAATTACAGTTGAGAAGGTATACTATGTCTTTAAGATCTATTCTGGAATATATATATGCATGTAAGTAGTAAGTTCTTTTTAATTCGGTTCTACAGAAGTCCTGTGGAATCATGCGCTCACCCCTCTCTCTCCACCACTGCCATCCTCAGGAAACTTACATTTGTGAAGCAACCTTAGCGTCGGGTAAAAAATCCCTTCTCTTTGTCTGAAGAACAGCAACTCCCCATTCACAGTGAGGATTTCTATATGTTCATGACTGCAAGATTTAAAAAAAAAAAAAAAAAAAAAATTATTCCAATAGCTACTTAACCGTTTTATAGTTTAAATAAAATATTTCACTTCACAGAGTCTGGTCTATCTTGGTATCTGAAAATTAAGACAGTCAATTAGCAAGAAAATTTAAAACTAAAAATATTATCTTTTTTTAATGGCTTGTTCTTCAACACTGGCCTCCTGCACACTTCCTTCCCTTTTAAAATAAGAAAGAAAAAAAAAAATCTACAAACACCCAGCTGTTCATAAACTGCATTTCTTTGGGTTTTTTTAAATGCAATACAAAGAGTGAACAAGGAGAAGGAATCATCAAAAATATATTACCCTCTATTTCAAAAAAAAGAAGATAATCCAGACAATATACGGAAGCCCAAAAATAGTAAAAAAAAAACCCGCTACTGGAAGCTATCCAAACAACTTTGAGCTTCCATATCCATAAAGCTGAATGCTTCCCTTCAACAACAGGCCGATCCCTGGAGAGTCCCTGAATACGTTGCACATTCACTACTAGGCAGCATTTTTGTTTTCCTCAAACATCCTACTAGCATGCCCTCAAAAGCATGATGAGCACATGCAAACTTTCTGGTTTGACCATAACATGAACTATTATCTATTAAGAAATGATAGATGCTTTTCTAAAACACTAGGTTCATCTACTATACAAAATAAACATATAAAGGAAGCAACCCTATCACCTTGGAAGCAAAGGATAAGAGAAAAGAAACTTACCATCTCACTATTTTGACTGGGTCTTTCTTTGGCATAATTTGGTTTAGCCATGGTTCAATAACAGGAAACTGGTCTATCAGCTGATTCTTAATACCTTTAATAACTGAAGTCTTCAGCTGGATGCAGTTTGATACATTCTCCTTTTCATCAAATCTGTCAAGCAAGCAAAAGTATTTCAGACATGCACAATCTGCTGCCCCAGAGCTGCCATATCTCAGCAGCATTCTTCAGAAATGTTTATAAATTCTCTGTAACACCTTAGCAGTACCACATCTGTCCAACTCCCAAATCTAGAATTTCATGAGGCTTAAATTTGTCCCCTGGGAACACTGGGCCAGGGGAAAGCAGGGAAGTTCCCACTAGCAGGCTATCTTCATCCCTAAACTTCACATACATCCATGACACACGTTTTTAGCCTCACAGATACACCCTGGCACACAGCATTATTTCATTCAACTCACAGAGCAGACTTTGCTGGTGACACCAACCCCTACAGCCCTGTTCAGTTGTATTTATAAAAGTCCTTCACCTTCACGACAGATGTACGAACTGCGCTTCGTACCACCCCAAGCTCCAGACAAGTTAATGACTCAGCTCACTTTTCAGTTTTCTTTCTTTTAACAAGCAAGTGCCCAAGCGGCCCAGGCCAGTGCGCCCGAGGGCGAAGCTGAGGGCTGAGGGCGCGCCCTGCGCCCCGGGGAGGCCGAGGCGGCGGC